TAGCACAATGAACGGCACAGTCAGACCACAGGACATTGAATGGCACACAACATACTATCTCAGATACCATGGATAGTGCCATTCAATGTCCTGTGGTCTGACTGTGCCGTTCATTGTGCTAAATATTCATGCTGGACCTAATTAAAACTGTTACTTCTGATTCCTGCCTCCTGTGTTCTGACCGGCACACCAGTGCGAGCACAGCTATATTGAACCAGTGCAATACAGTCCTAAGCAAACTCATTAATAACATGTGTTGAGACAAGTCCTGGAATGACATCAGGCAGAATCCATTTCTCGACTTTCATGAACCTGGGAATATTTCCTCAACTTTTAATGCTTACTTTAAAGATGTGCTAATGTTTCGCATCCTCCTTCCAATTTCATGAATTTGTTTGTTTAAACCATGTAACAGTTCATTGGTTTACTGACCTCTCTATAGTCATGTTTCGCTCCCTAACACCATCATGATTCATGCCCATGCAAGACACACAGGCAAGGAGATGTTTTTATCTGTGCCACCACTGCATGTTTCAGCGGTTTACCCCAAGGCTTGTTTTATGATCTGATTTGTATATTACAGATGTGAGAAACAGCCAAGAACTTTTTTTTACTTCACTCACACAATACTGTATATTATTACATCATATAGTATAATTTACATAATATACTGATGATAATTTGTATATTCGACAAACTGTGATGGGCAATACATTCATTTAATTTAATTCATATTACCTTTTGGGAAAAAAATCGAAATTAATTTATAAAAATAAAGTGTTTTTAGTTGTCCTCTAGTATTAAGGATGCTAAAATAATCATAGATCAGTCTCCTTTAAGAAAATCATTTATGATTTTGAGGTTTGGTGGACTCTCTACTGCAGGGATTTCAAAAGGAACAAAAATATTTCGGGATTATATCCAAGATACACATCTTATGAACTCTGATAATTTTCCAGAAAACTAAGATATAAAAATAAATATCTCATTCTAGATAGGGCATATTTATACAAATTTTAAATGTTTCTTTCTACTTAGACCTTAATCATTTGATTAATGCATTCCTAAAAATAATAATTATGTACATTACAAAAAAAAAATTGGTAAAGTTCTTTTACCTTTTTAGGTACAGAACATTCATATGAACATGTCTGCATTGCATTTTAATGATGTAATGCTCTCATTTTTCTACGTTATTGATATTAATGGGTATTACATCCTTTATCAATATGCACATCTAAAGCTCATCAATGACTTTATATGTTTAGTTTAAATTTGTTTATAATTTACTTTCAAGCCAATTCAAATAAGCTGACTTCTGTTGTCATTTTTTTCTGTGCTGATTGGATAAACATGCGAAGGCCTGTTCATACTGACACATGTTTAAATTCTGTAGAAATCTGCACAGATTTCCTATGGAGTTCCGGGAGCACAGATTACATTTGTGGACCTGGGGCTTATGATGTATTCACTCATTAATCAAATTTTGTTCATTTTTAACAACAAAAACAACAACAACAAAAAAGGTTACATAGTATGCCTTTAATTTATTTTTATTTTTTTATCTTGTCTAGTTGAATCATGTATAACTTAAAAAATTAAGTTGAACTTGTTTAAATCATTTTGAGTTAAAGTAATGGAAAGACATTGCCATGACTTATTGATCATATAATTTTTTGCTAATTCAATCCTTATTTAGTTATTCTCAACGGCAATGAAAATCTGTTACTGAAAATTGCTTCAGCAGGTAATTAGGTTTCTCAATGTTTACTCTGTAAATAAGCGGTGTTTGAGTGACTTCTCTTGAAAGTTTCTCAAGGTGAAACTCCTGCTATTGTTGAGTCATTTCAGGATGGTCATTAAAGCATCTGACTGCTGTAATGAAATCTCTCAGTGTTGTTTCTGGTGTTGATGTGAGTACAAGAGTGCCAGGCAATGTTTTCTCAATTCCCTGCGAATGATGTTCAAAAGTCAATGCCATCTGTGTAACGGGTCGAATAGCAAAGACAGTGAAAACTATGAAATCATGAGTACGTTTTTTTTTTTGATTTTTTTTTTTCACCCTCAGATTCCAGATTTTCAAATAGTTTGACACTCAGCCAAATATTACTAAATATTCCTAACAAACCATAGATCAATGGAAAGCTTATTTATACAGCTTTCAGATGATGTGTAAATCTCAATTTAAAAAAATTGACCCATGTGACTGGTTTTGTGGTCCAGGGTCACATTTATGACATGCATTCAAGTAATTTGTTCAGAGAAATATGGCAATGTACCTTTTCTACAAAAAATTCAGCAAAATTTTTAACTATACACTTTTTTCCTCTGTATAGATAACAACATTATCAAAACAATCTCAGTTCACACGGATCCGCGGTAACGACTTAAAACACTGTTGCATACCAGACAAGTAATTGGCAATGTCACTTTGTAAAGAAAGACTACGCGCCTGCTCATTTACACATTCAAACTTAATGACAATAGACTAAACACGTAATACGCATGTGTATGTGGTCACCGTTTTCACAGAATTCTCGTTTTTGAACTTTACACAGAGATGATAACGGTATCGCTTTCAAAAACATGCAGCAAAATGGCATTATCATTACCGATCAGCATTATTTCGGTTTTGCTGTCATTTAGTTTGAGAAAGTTCAGGGACATCCAGTGTTTGATTTTTGTCTTAAACATGCAGTGATATTAAATATCAGTAGAGGTGGTAAGATAGATTTGGATGTCATCAACATACCAATGAAAACGAAGTCCTATCTGCGTATGACATCACCAAGTGGCTGCATGTAGATGATAAAAAGAAACGGCCCAAAAACTGAGCCCTGTGGGACACCCTGTGTCAGTGGAACTGTGGTGGACTTATACCCTTGCATGGGGATATAGTACTTTCAATTAGTGAGAAAAGAAATAGTTTGGTTGTTGTTGTTGTTGTTGTTGTTTTTTTTTTAAGACATTTGTTTTCTCCATTATTTATTTAATTTTGACCTTGTTTTCAGTTTTCAGGACTTTTGGCTCAGCAGTGTGGAAACATTTTGTGAAGGTTTGGGAATATTTCACCAAAGTTGGTGACTTGAAAAGACAGCATTTGAATTGTTTGTATGTGCAGTTTGTATGCGTAGTTTGTCTTTGAAAGGACAGCAAAGCAAGAACATAGAAGGAAATGATGCAACCCAGTTTCGAACCTGTATTCCCTACATTAGCATCACAGCACACGTGTCAGCTGATATATATATATATCTACATACAGAAATGCATTATTTTGTTAAAGATATTTATACATCTCTGCTCAAAATGAAGATCTAAGTGTGTGCTTTATCCTGCAGCAAAGGAGGTATAAACCAGCACTAATTCAACAAAAGAAAATACACAGAACAGATAGTCTCTTTAGATCAGGTGCCCATATTCCATCTGTGACAAATTGCCATAAAAGCTAGACAAACAAACGCTGATTTCGGGAATACTTTGACTTTATCAAAGAAATAACATCTCTGACCACACGACGGACTGTAATATACGGCCAGATTGACAGATAAATGTTTCCCTGCGGTCTTGCCTTATAAGGATCCCTCTCTCCCCTTCTCCAAATGTCCAATTAAAGGAGCACATAAGCACACAAAGGTGAACAACAGGACATCCACATCTTTTTCATTAGCCTGTGAGAGTAATTATTCCCAGTGCAATTAAAGATTAAACAAAACACAACATGTGGACTCTTAAGGAAATGACCTGCAACTAAAAACATATGTGTTTTACACAAAAGCTGGTGTTTATTGTGGGAAACAGCGTGACTGCATAGAAGCCTCTAGTTTTCCCAGGACATTATTCAATCTAAAATGTAAAACAGTAACTATCGAATATGCATTTCAGATGTTCAAGTTTGATTCTGTCACTTTATTGGAATCAATTCTTATAAACAAGGAAATGCTTTTCCAAAGGACATTTCTGTCATATTTAATGAGTTACTAAGAATACTAAGTTCTGCATTTGGGGGGCTGTAAAACCAAAACCACTGGAGGGAGTGAGCTGATGGAAAGAATTTATGACTATTTGTAACATGATGTCTTAAATTTGTTAAGTGATATTGGGAATGGTCATGTCTGATGACATGTCTGATGACCTAAAATAAAAACTGTCTCTCAAGGCTGCTAGACTTGACCTTGAGTCATGGTTGTAAAGTTATCAGATGAAAGGTTGGGTGTAAAAGTGTTGCTCAAGACACAGCATGAACATGTGATCCTTCTGATAAACATTACAGCTAGGTTTATCCACTTATTCTTGAGACATGGGACAAAATATGCCTTCAACTTATGTGGAATTCAACTTTTTCACTTTAAGATGATCGCTAGGACGCTCTTAAAGGGATGGTCCATCTAAAAATGAAAATTCTGTCATCATTTACTCAACCTCGTCATTACAAACCTGTCTTCTGCACAATACAAAAGAAAATATTTAAGAACGTTGAACAACATTGAAGCGCATTGGCTTCCATTGTATGAACAAAAAACAGACCTTTCTCAAAATATCTTCTTTTGTTACATAGAAGTTTTGGAACAACATGAGGGTGAGTAAATCATGACAGAATTATCATTTGGGGTGAACTATCGATTTATCACAGATTAGCATTTGAGTTCCAGGAGATTCGAACACATAAGTGAATACCTCTGAACATGACTGATCCAAAACAGTTGCTTGATGCATCAACTTTTATTTCCTCAGTTTAGAGTGCTTCAACTCCCTTCCAAATGACTGTCATCAGTCACAGGACTTTTGCACAGTGAAATGACTTGCTGTGACATGATCCAGTCCAGCATATTTGCAATGGAATGTAGAAAACAAAACTGATGAAGCAAGAAGTCAAACAAAGAAAGAGAACCGCATTCCCCATGCATAAAGTCGAAACAGGAAGCACGACTCTCCATTTAAGTCAACAAAAATGTTTTTCTCTCCATAAATAAAGACAATAAATACATTTAATTTGCTACAAAAAAAAACTATAATCTTGTATATTCTCCATGACATCACAGGTGCACCACCACCAAGCTCTTTACCCCTGAGGTCTCAAGCCCAGCTGCTCAGGTATCCAGTGACCCGAAACGTCTGCATCTGTTATTTTCGTAATATGGGTGAGCAATCACTCCATAGTCATTCCCACGAACACAGGGAGGTTTTAGAGATCAGGAGCCAGCAGATCCTGGAATTCCCGTGTAAACTTTCAGAAAACTGCCTCCTTCTGAATCTCCAGGAGGGCTTTTCTGATACAGGACTGGATGAATGCTGCGGACCTTCTCCTGTGTGGGTTTGGACTTTATGGTCTTGCACATCTTGTCCCAGAGCAGGCGAGGCACCGGGGGACTGAGGATGATGAAGACCCAGGGGTCTATGATGGGGTTGACTGATACGAAAAGAAGGGGTATGAGACCATTTTTACCTTCTTGGCCAGAGAAGTACAGATGAATCTATGAAAACAAGAACATAATGTGAAACTATATGCTGCCGCTGTGCATACGCAGTAAAACAAAACAGCAAAAGCATCAGCATAAAAAACATTCTCACACATTTCCATTTCAATGTTCATGTTACTATGTAATAATTTGGTGAATAGATTTGGAACAGTGTTTACATTACTTCATACGGGAGAACATAACAAACATATTATTCTGACATGTCTGTCTAACAAATGCTGCTTGTTTCAATATGTACTTAAATACATTTTAGGGCCACTTTATATGACAAGCAGTTCAATTATGTATTTATTTAATCTATATCTAGTTCAAAATGTATGTAGTAGTAGGCTACCTACTTTTAAGTCACTATAAGTAATTCAAATTACAAGTTTCTTTTTTAGTTTCTTAAAAATTATTTATTCACTTAGTAATATGGAACATTAGATACTAGTTCATATTCCTATTGACTAGTGTGTATTCACTAATAGCCTACTAGTATTTATTAACTTCATACTACTAATTATAGTCTTTGCAACTAGTCACTTACTCAATAGAGACAACTAACTATTTTTCGTTAACATATTACACTTATCTGCCAATGAATTCTATTGGCATGGTTGAGATATCAACTATTTTACATGTTATTTGTCAAGTAGTGACTATTCTGAATGACTTTAGTTAGTAGGCTATTAGTAAAAAATGGTACTAGTAACAATTAGAATACCCCCTAGTTTCATTAATACGAACACTGGAATAGACACTTAACTATTTGAGCCAGATAAGCTAATATAGTTAATATATTAGCTGGAAAAGCTAGATAAGCTATAGCAATAGGCTATATAAACGTACAATTGCGAGTTATGAAGTCAGAATTGTGAGATATAAACTCGAAATTCTGACATTTACTCGGAATTGGGAGTTTATGTCTCACAATTCTGACTTTATAATTCGCAATTGAGAGTTCATGAAATTCTAAGAAAAAGTCAGAACTGTGAAATATAACTCGCAATTGTGAGAAAAAAAAAATCAAATTTCAAGTTTATATCTGACAAATCTGACTTTAATTCTAAGAATTGCCACTTTATTTCTCACAACTCTGAGGAAAAAAGAAATGCGAGATATAAAAAAGTCACAATTGTGAGATAAAAATCGCAATTAGTTCATTCAGTGGTGGAAAGAAGCTTCCACCATGTAGTCATACACGGTGACTAGAAGCAACTAAAGTTCTATAGCCTATGTAGCCTATATGAATATGTAGGCCTACATGTTTCATATGAGAGTGAATATTGGAGAAAGTACAGTAGCCAACTTGTAATTGGAAAAATATTCAAGTCATTATTGGATAATTGAAAAATGTAAACAAATTGTACTGCCATTTTGGACATTGAATACCATTCTCGTAAAAAAAAAATGTGTGGGCGAACTTTTAACGAGTGTTTGACAAGTCTGTAACTGCCTTACCACAAGAGGAAGAGAGCAAATGACGAATGCTATGGTCATGAACCCGAGCAGCACCAGATGTTCGACCTCCTTCGCGATGGACCGATGCCTCTTGTGACCTTGCTGCCGTCGGATAGAGCTCCGGTGCGCCTTGCGTCTTCGGTACATTAGTGAAAGATGATAGATGACGGACACGTTGCACAAAACCGTACACACAATCATCACGAGCAAGCAAGTCGCGTAGATGATATTGAACACTTTATGATTGGTCTCTGATGGGTTCATGTCAACGAAGCACCACGTACCCGGACAGTATTGAATATACTTCCCAAAACCGAAGAAAGGTGTGACACAGAAAAGAGCGCAAAGCAAGTAAATGAGAGCTATGGTGATGTACCCGCAACGTTTACTCAAGCGCTTCTCATAAAAGTAAGGATGTCCTAAGGAGAGCCAGCGCTCCACGGCCATGGAGAGAAGAATAGCGAGAGTGACCAAGCTGAAAAATGTCATTGCATATCCAAAGTGCCCGCAAACGAATTTTTTTTCATTCATCCCGAGCAAAGACTGCTTCCTCAAGTACGCAGTTAAAACCAGAGGACTGACGGAGAAAGTTCCCAGCAAATCTGTGATGACCAAAGATGTGACCAGGACTTGGAACAAAGATGCGGGTTGTTTCCTCCGCCGTATTTCCAAGAGAATTAATGCGACCACGTTCCCAAGGACACCGGCGGAAAACATGATCGCAGATGTTGTGGGAGATCCTTCAGAGACATCGAGGCGCTCCTGGCAGCTGACATTTTTCGCGTCTGATGCCATAAAAACTTCTTTTTTTCTCTCTGTGTACTATCCACCCTGGTGTATAAGTATTTGTCCTGCTTGAAGTGTATTTGAGGAAAAGGATGTATCATAGCAGAGAAGAATTAGGCTCCATACTTATAGTTGAGCCGAACTTTTACGCACGGCACAGCCCATAACTTTCAAACGAGAGGAGCAACGAGCGTGAGCAGAGAGTGAGGAGGAGTTTCAGCAGAGCATGCTGTGATGTCAACAGCTCATGACTCACTACAGCTAACGTAGTATTAGTCAGGTGGATTGTAAATGCGATCAAATGATTTAAAACATGATTTGGATTATTTTATTTTTTAGATGCTATAGCCTCCTGAAGTGCAGTAAATATGTGAAAATATGTTTTAAAGGTGCCCTAGAATGTTTTTTTTTATTATTTTATAATGTTTCCTGGGTTACCCTTATAATGTTAGTATGTTTTTTAGATAAAAAATAATCATAATTTAGAAATAAATGGCATTTTTCCTAGCCTGCTTTTAGCCTCTGATTTGAACACTCTGTTTGAAGGGGCGTGTCTGTTGTGGGATTCAGTGTAACCGCGGCCACTGCTGTGATTGGCTGACATGCTTGCATATTAAATAGCTACGCATTACATGTGAAACTCTCTCCCGAATACTTTTACTACTGCTACGCTTTCTGTATATAATTTGTTCACAATTTAAATACGATTATTTTCATCCTACTAAAAGAAACGATGTGAAGCTGATATTTTAGTCACTGGCTTGACTTACTGATGCATAAACAGTATTGAACGATTTTGAGAGAAAGATTACCTGTCTGAACTTGAACAATTACACATCAGAAAGTGTTGCTTGGTAGCTCGATCCGAGGCCAGCTCTGTATTGGCCCAAGTTGAGGAAACACTCGGTGAAATGTTTGGAAATTTCCAGAGAAAATAAAATTAACCCATTGTTTCTTCAGAGGCTCAGATGAAGGAACTAAAAAATACTTTTGTGTTCATGTGTACATCCACACTGAGCAACTGCCATGCTTCGGCTGCGCAGTTCCGCCTGGCATTGAGGGCTGGCATTATGCAAATATTTGGAGGCGTACATATTAATGATCCCGACTATTGCGTCACAGTCGGTATTGTGTGGAGAACCGACCGTTTTTCAGGGGTGTTTTTCATAAACGTGAATTAAATGAGAACGCGAAAACAGTCCAGTTTGAGATTCACTCTATGTCATGTCCATGCACTGAACTCTTGTTATTTGACTATACCAAGGTAAATTCAATTTTGAATTATAGGTCACCTTTAATAGAAATAGAATGAAAATATGTTTTCATTCTATACAATTCGGAACTCTGTGAAATCACAGCACTGTCTTTCAGGGACAACCCTGACAAAAGAAATGCAAAACATACAGTGAAGTCTTCTGTGAGCACCTAACTGTATCATCATCATATACTGTATATATATATATATATATATATATATATATTAATTATATGCTTTCACTTTCCTTTAATCCCTATAGCTTATGCTACTCTACCTACGCAATGTCTGAAACTTTGTATTTAGAGCACTGCTTGTGTTTATTTGCCTCTTCATGATGAATCGCTTGTTGTATTCCTCAATTGTAAGTCGCTATGGATAAAAGCGTCTGCAGAATGAATAAATGTAAATGTATAATGTAATAAATACCTCTTATATACTGTAAGTGGATAAAGCAATACTCCTGTACATGCTGTATTGGACAAAAACCTGACCTTTGAAACTTCAAATTGACAAAACATGTAAGGAAGAGTCCATGCACAGTAAAATACTTCAATTTTCAAAAGCTTTCTTTGCAAACATAGCAAATAGTTGGCTAAAAATCAAATTGACAATTATGAGTTTAAGGGTGTAGTATTTACTGTATAGAATAGTGAAAGTACTGCTGTTATACTGTAATTATACTGTATGTGTATAGTATAAATCCCTGTAGACCAAATTCGGTTATGGTCATTCCTGCAGAAGAAATGGTCAAATATAGTGCTTTCTTTGTATTTCATCAGGAACAAATGTCCTTTGAACCCTTCCTCTTCATTTTTCTTTTCCTCTCTTTCTCTTTGTCTCCCATTTTCCAAAGCACATAATGCACCATGGCCCTATTTATAATATCCTGAGATTCTGATTGGTGTGTCATCAGTTTTGCTACTTACAGTTTTATCTTTTTTTAAATTGCTTTCACATCATTTCTGAAACTATGGCTCGAGTTCTCATACAAAACCACAAGCACGCAACATGAAACACGCCACACATCTCTTGCAAAAGCAAACACATCATTCCATTTTAACTCTTCCAAAAATTACTTTTTTTGCTTAATAACTCTACACACAAACATCAAATGATTAGCCACATACACATCAAACTACACACAGATGTGAAAAATGTAAAACACTTCTCTCTTGTGTCTTTTGCTTGTTCAGTGTGCAGTGAAGCGTATACAGGAGTTTGTCATAAAACTCACGTGTATGTATGTGCACAAATTATATACACAGTTTGTATGCACAATTGTTGTACAATTGATGAACTTTACAGCTATTGAACTGAACTGAATCAACACTGAACTGCCATGAGCTGAATAATGACAATATTGGCTTGCTAGAGCAAAACACAAGAGCTGTTAATTTTGAATGATGTGTCTAATGTAGAAAACTGTTTTTAGCGTTTTGCAAAAAGTTTGTTTAACAATTTCAAACTGAGTGTAAAGCATATAATGTGCTTGCAGTTTTGCAGACTTGGTCTGAAGATTAGGTATATGCGAGTTGGCCTCAAGTAACATTTTTAGCGTGTAAGCAAGTTTAAAAAAAAACTGTAATGTTTACACATGGATGAATGTGTGCTATTTGAGTTCACAGTGTGACACTTGTAATTATATTATGTGTTTGTGTTTTCTGAATGAAAACAAAGTGCAAAATGAGGCCATTTTTGTGTAGAGTTTTGCAGAAAACATTGAGAAAATTGTAACGTGCATGAAAACAGGTAAAATGTGTTAATGTGTCTGTTTCGAGAACTGTATGAATGGTTTGGGAAATTGGGCCGTTAGCAATCGAGATAAACTGTAATTTTATATCAGTTTATAGCACTTAAAAATGGCATTACATGTTATGTATTTGCAAATTACATGCTATTTATGTTTGAAGTTATGTAGAGTTAATGGGTATAAAATCTTGGTTTACCATCTGTACTGCATCATGACGCCTCCCAGTGGGGAATATTTGAGATGCACACGAGTTTTAGGAGAGACGTCATTTGTCATTACAGAGCAGTAAGGTTAAAACATGTGGAGGTGAGGACAACTTTTCAATTTTGTATGTCAAAACAAAACAGATAATATATTGAACAGCCCTCCTGCTTAAAATGTTTTAAACATTGTATTTAAAATAAGTTTTTTTTTTTTTTTTACAAATTGTTTTTTTTTATATAGAAATGGGAACCACTATGTAACTTTCATTATGACATCATTAATGGATCCAAGTGTGCTCATGGAGTACTCATGGTATATTGTCATGGAAATCACATCAACTGGAGTTCCACAGGGATCAGTACTAGAACCATTTTTAATCTCCCTTTACATTGAATCACAAGCAAAGTTATCAAATCTAATGATTTTCTTTAATATTTTCATGCAGATGATACTCGGTTAAATCTCTACTTCTACCCTCTGACAAGCAGGTTTCACAGCATTTCTGGAAGACATTTCTGTCTAGATGAATGAAGCAAAAATGATTGAAAACAAAGCAGCTGTTCATTCTAGGCAAGTTCCACCCATTGCCAAGTCCATGTCATTTCAATAGACAAACTCAACCATCTCACCCACTCAGACCGCCAAGAGCCTTGACAACGACATGTTGTTTGCGCCTTAAATACCACTGTCAAGACATGCAGATTCCTCCAGCAAAGAATCCAGAACATTGGTAGAACAACTACATGGGCTCTACATACAGTTTTGAGTTTTCTGAGAGTTCAAGAGCAGTAACCGATGCAACTGCAGAACAATGTTGTCTTTCAGTGACTGTATAATTTATATTTATTCATTTATGTAAATAAAGGACATTGTACAGTGAACTTCTGGGACTGTGTCAATACTTTCTTATTTAAATGAAACTGTAATTGTTTTAAAGCTTTGCACATTCAAAGGGTAGTTCACCAAAAAAAATATATATATATATATAGTCATCATTTACTCACCCTCATGTCGTTCCAAACCTATTTATTTCCTCTGTTGAAGAAGATATTTTGAAGAATGTCGGTAACCAAACAGTTTCAGTTCCCATTGTCTTCCATTGTTTTGTTTATTTTAAGCCAATAAAATAGTTAGGGAATTCCAACAGTTCCGAGAATTAGATAACGTTTTAGAAAATTATCCTCATTTCTGTAAATGAAAGTAATTACGAAAACAGCAATATTTAAAATACACATTTCTTACAGCAGGTGTTTGTTTGCAAAAATCATTTTCTATTCTCCATAACAGTGCAATAAACCTCTTTATTCTTTTATCCATTCTGCTATTCAACCACATATGAGCATTGGATGATGCTTTGCACTCGCCTACTAAAACCCTCCCATAGACATTTTGGTAACTATGTGTTTTGTGGTTGAGGCATCCTTTCATTTTAAATCACCACATGGTCACATCTCATGAACTTCTTCTGGGACAATTATATTTAAGTGCTCCAGATCGAAGCTGCTTCGTCTCGAAATGAAGAACTGCTGGGCATTTGCTTTACTTTTTACAAATGTTTATTTCATGAATGCGATTCAAAAAGACGCACTTTTCCCTTTCGGATTATCTAAAGGCGATTCAGTTCTTCAAGAAGGTGATGATGTTCTGTCTGAAGCCCTGAAGCTAAAAAAGCCGTTGCAGTTCTACAACGTGCAGTTCAACGGTCTTTATGTAAGCTACACTATTTGTTTTCATTGTCTTTACATTGAAAACAAATAAAGCTTTTATTTCCCCATTATTTTAGCATGCATTTTGCATATGCAACCATATCTATTG